AATGTCCCTCAGCCCAGCCAGCACCTTCTCCAATCTGGGACCCCTCAGGAAATGTCCAACTGCCAGTTTAGGCGGCAGTCGTACAACCCTCTCAAAATCCAGGACTGCTGGCTTCCAACCATTCACCTTCCTGCCAGCCTGATCACCCCCTAACCACTCCCCTGCCAGCCTGATTGACAACTGACTGCTCCCCTGCTGGCCCGATTGCCCCCAACTGCCCTTCCCTGCTGGCCTGGTTGCCCCCTACTGCCCTCCCTTCCCTGATCGCCCACAATTGCCCTCCCCTACTGGCCATCTTGTGCAAGGGTGTGATCGTCAATTTGCATATTATTTCTTTATTATATAGGATATGAGTTGATATGCATTGTGTTGTGGGGTTTTTTTGGATACATAATTCCAATCTGTATTGTACCTTAGACTCCTTGACTTTGAAATCTAAACCAGAAAGCAACACTGACATATGTGTCACTTTTATAAAACTAAGTACAGACCTCAGAGATACTGTAGGGTCAGTTACAACCAAAGCAATAAAGCAAATATCACAATATAAAATGAGTCACATAAATTTTTTAGTTTCCAAATGCATATAAAAGTGTTTATACTGTATTATAATCTAGCATATATACAATAGCATTTATGTCTTAAAATGTACATAATTTGCCCTAACCAGTTTGGCTCAGTGGACAGAGCATTCGGCCCTCAGACCAAAGGGTCCCAGATTCTATTCCAGTCAAGAGCATAAACCGCCAAAACCGGTTTGGCTCAGTGGATAGAGCGTCGGCCTGCGAACTGAGAGGTCCCAGGTTCGATTCCGGTCAAGGGCATGTACCTGGGTTGCGGGCACATCCCCAGGAGGAGATGTGCAGGAGGCAGCTGATCGATGTTTCTTTCTCATCGATGTTTCTAACTCTCTATTTCTCTCCCTTCCTCTCTGTAAAAGATCAATAAAATATATTTTTTTTAAAAAGAGCATAAACCTCAGTTGCGGGCTCAATCACCAGCCCTGGTCAGGGCATGTGCAGGAGACAACCAATTTATGTATCTCTCTCACATGGAGGTTTCTCTCTCTCTCTCTCTCTCTCTCTCTGTCTCTCTCTCTCTCTCTCTCTCTCTCTCCTTTCCCCCTTTCCCCCTCCCACTTTCTTTAAAAAAAAATCAATGGAAAAATATCCTCAGGTTAACAACATATCCTTAGGATTAACAACAACAAGAAAAATGTACATACCTTAATTCAAAATACTTTTTATTGCTAAAAATACTAACATTCACCTCATCCTTCAGTGTGTCATAAATTATTTGTGGGTGGAGGATCTACCTTAAATTTTAAGGAATGCAATAGTCGCAAAACTCAATAAAGTAAAGTGCAACAAAACCAGGTATAGTAAGACTTCACTTAACATCATTGATAAGTTAATGGAAATGTGATAAAAACAACACATTTACCACAGGCTAATTGCTAAATATGAGTTAAGTTCCCACCACATCTCATCAACATTCTAACAAAATAAGGTTGAACAAAACTATCCTATATAATAAAAGGGTAATATGCAAATCGACCAAACAGCAGAACAACCAGTCAGTATGACCTGCACTGACCACCAGGGGGCAGACGCTTAATGCAGGAGCTGCCCCCTAGTGGTCAGTGTGCTCCCACAAGGGGAGTGCCACTCAGCCAGAAGCCCAGAAACCAAACTCATGGCTGATGAGCGCAGCGGCGGTGGCAGGAGCCTCTCACACCGTCGAGACAGTACTAACGATGTCTGACTGACAGCTTAGGCCCACTCCCCATGGGGATTGGGCCTAAGCCATCAGTGGGACATCCCCCGAGGGTTCCCAGACTGAGTAGGCACAGGTCGGGCTGAGGGATCCCCCCCTTCCCCGAGTGCACGAATCTCGTGCACTGGGCCTCTAGTGTTATATAAGGACCTGCTATATTCCTATAATTACTTGGTGTTATTCAATTAGTTTTATCACCAAAATTGAGGTGGCCCAAGTAGGATTGGAATTTCGTAAAAGGGAAGTTATTCTTGGAAATTTCACCTTACATCCTATGAATATGCAGTTTTGCATACACACTAGATAATGAGCAATTTCTTCACAAGTTCCACTCAATTTCTTCCTTTCTCCTATACTGAATTGCCTAATTTGCCCTTACAGACACCATGAAGATGATGAAGTTCCCTTTATAAGCAATCATCACATTTAAAATCATCTTTTCCCACAAGCCAGTTTCAATAACCTAATTTAGACAATACTTTATCAGCTCACAGAGTAGCTATTATATAACTATATCAACATATATCTATGATTTCTATTATAATTCTGTGATTTCTTAGTTATCACTCCACCATGACTACAAATAAGTGAAAAAAAGATTTAACCTTTGAGATAATTTAAAATAGAAAGACTTAGTCCTGTTCATCTTTGTTTACTTTCACTTAAAAAAGGAATTACCACAGGTTAAATGCTTGGTAAGGTATGTAACTGAATGAGAAGAACCCACTGGTAAACATTTCTGAGAACAAGGAAGATGGGTGTTTCTGAGCACCCTGCCTGTGCTTTCACTCCTATTGTCAGCCTACCTCTATGAGGCCATTACTAGGTCGAAGAGGAAGCTTAAAAATACAACACAGGCTTTGGAAAAACAACATTAGTTCTGTTCTGTTTCCCAATACGAAAACCAGTAATGCCTATAGGGTTTGTAAAGAGTTTGATTTTATTAATCCTTTTGTCCCTTATATAGGAAAGCTACAGGAGAATTTCTTCACTGATTGTCAAATTAACAGTTTTTAAAAATGATGTGGCTGAAAAATAATTTCTAGTTCTGCAAAGGGATACTTGTATACTTAAATGCATTCTATATATCAAAACTAAACACCTTGGTAACCAGTAACTGTAGTGGATTCTGTGAAATGCCTTCCATTGAATTAATCTAGAGTATGTTTATTTTTCTCTTATTCCCCTTTTGCTTTAGGCTTTTCATCGATTTATTTTATCCTAATATCCTTTCACACTGACATAGGAAATAGATGACAGAAAAGAACATGTGTGTCATTGAGATACTGGTTCAAAGTTGGTACATAAACAATTAAGTCTCCTTTGTATAAGTTATATTTCACAGGTGGTTAAAGACACATTAGTATTAGGAAGCTATAAGCCATTCATTTTATATTATTTTTCTAGTTATGATATAAGTGAAAAAATGATTTAACTCTGAGATCATTTAAAATTATATATTTTAAAGGAAAACAAAAACATGAGCCATTTTGAAAACAACAAAGCTTGTTTAACTGAAAGTTCTTTGAAGAAATATCAATGCTTCTCCAACATTTAAAAGGTGAAAGAGAAGAGGAGGAAAAAAGTGAAAGCAGTTACAACTCTGTGAATATAACACCACCCCCAAATTCAAGATGAATTTCACAGCTTGTAATAAAACACTAACATTCAAGCCTCAGACTCTGGGCTTGAGCTCGGGCTATATTAAAGTTTCAGCATCCAGACATTCCCTAAAGAGATGAAATCTGGACTTGCCACAGTTAGGAAGATACAACAGGAATGTAGTACAATTGTTCAAATACCCATCACATGCTTGTATTTAAATTACATCTGTTTGTTACAACACATGATGCTTGTAATTCCTTAGCCAGAGTTTAAACCATGTTCTAAGTCCTCAGTCACTGGTCTAAGGCAACTTTTCAGCCTTTCCTTCTCACAGTGTAAACAAAGTTAAAATAGCCCAGCCTATATTCTTCAGTGGTTGGGCATCGCCCTATGAAACAGGAGGTTCCGGTTGGGGCACATGCCTAGGACAGTGATGGTGAACCTTTTGAGCTCCCTGTGTCAGCATTTTGAAAACCCCTAACTTAACTCTGGTGCCATGTCACATATAGAAATTTTTTGATATCTGCAACCATAGTAAAACAAAGATGTATATTTTTGGTAATTATTTTATATATTTAAATGCCATTTAACAAAGAAAAATCAACCAAAAAAATGAGTGTGCGTGTCATAGGTTCTGACACGTATGTCATAGGTTCACCATCACTGGCCTAGGATATGGCCTCGATCCCTAGTAGGAGGCCTGCAGAAGGCAGCCAATCAAAGAGTTTCTCATTATTGATGTTTCTATCTCTTTCTCCCTCTCTCTTCCTCTCTGAAATAAAAATATATTGGAAAAAAATATTGCTGGTGGGTCACTAGGAATAATAGTGAGTGGCACCACTACTACATAAAATAAATACTTCACCATGTAATCATTAGGTGGGTAGATAAATGAGAATGTGGTAAAACTTCCACAAGTTAAATGTGTATGGTTAGTGTCCCTGGGAAGGACCTGACGCACTTTGCCTATCCATAGCAGAAGCCCATCAACCACTAGATGCAAAATCAATTCATAATATGTATTTGAGTATATTAAAACAAAATAATTCTTTCACAGAATAAAGCAGCAGAATGAGAGAAACTCATATAATATTTTAAGTTTTTAAGGATATATGATCTATAAAAGGATGAAGTCATATTAACAAACAATATAAAATTTTCACATCTGAATGTGCAGATATTGAAGAGAAGGAACCATAGGTCACAGAGTAGGAAGTAAGCTATAGCTTGTCTTACTTTTTAAAATACCAAACATAGTCATAAAAATCCTACAAAATTAAGGAACTAAATAAACATAAACAATAAGCTCTTGCCCTCAACTTTGCAAATTCATCTGGAGTTCTGACACTAAAGTCTATCATTGATTTATAGCAAAGTAAAATGCCTGTACAGATGTAATGAACAATAAATTTATTTGGATAATTTGAATGCTTGATTTCTTCATCAGCTTAAGTGCCTTCTGTGATTATGATATATACATATGAATTAAGTGGCAGTTGCCACAAATGAAAATATTTCCATTAAGCATATGCTAAATCAACACCACTCTATATCTGAGCATAAATGAAGATAAAACACTCCACATTATGATTCAATTAAAAACCTCCAAGATACATTACCTGCCGCCTCGAGCACTGAAAGGCACTACATGGATTCCCAGAGGCCCTCCATCGTTGGGGACGTGTACGAGCTTTACCATATCACTGTGAGACAATGATGAATGAGGGAGCATGAACATGGACTGTAAACAAACCAAACCGAAACAACAAAACAAAACAAAACAAAAAAACAGACAATAACACAGAGACACAATAAACAACAAAAGAGAACAACAACAAAAAAAATCCCACCAAGCACACAAGCATGTACATACACATTCTGGAATATAAGCATGGTGATGAAGGCAACATTAAACACTACATACCCGAACACTAGTCTGACGGCATGGAGGGAGAACAATCATCAGAAATAACTACATTAAAAATGACACAGAACCATTTCTCTGGGACCATACTCTTCTGTGTAATATAAGTACGCATTTTCAAGTCAGATCTCTAGATTTCCAATGAAAAATTTCCATCCCAATATCTACTTCAAGGACAATGAAGATTAACTGAATAAAGGTGTTCCAAGCTACAGAGCACTTTATAATTTACAAAGAGCTTGTAAATATGTCACATCAGTGACCCTTCCAATAATCCAATAAAGTTAAAGTTTTTACTCCTGTGGACTGATGACAGTCCAGATGTAATCCAGCAATCCTGACTTCCCACCATTCCATAACAGTTTAAGTTGCCATTTCTTAAACCACTGCAAGTGCAGGTTATGAAACTCCTTTTTCAAAGCCAATAAATTTCCAATAAAAAACAAATCATTTTCATAAAAGTGTTTGCAAATGGACATTAAAGTAATGAAGCTATTTATATAAAGTAACTTCTATTATATGAAGTTACTTCTATTATATAAATAATTTACTATTAATATAATAAGCCCAAGTTTAATGCAAGCTGGTATAATTTAGAGAATGTAAACTTTCCAAACCATTTAAATGAGATTTCACTTTCTTTGTAGATTTTGTGTGCGTGTGTGTGTGCGTGCGCGTGCGTGTGTGTGTGTGTGTGTGTGTGTGTGTGTGTGTGGCGGGGGGCGGGGGATGGGAGGTACTGCATAGAAATCTAAGCAGTACTTATCGAACAAGCAATATCTGGAAATAGTATTTGAATTAAATATCTAGTTTAAGTAACACCAACAACCATAAATGATTATCAATGGATTTGACAAAGGTCACAATATAGTTCTTATATATATAATGGAAAAATGCCAATTCTTAAACTTCCTAAATAAAAGCCTGAGGTCATCCTATGTACTATGTATGTTCTGGTTATATAAGACACAGGCTAAAGAAAAATAAAGATAGGAATATTGAGTGAAAACAAAATTGAAAATATGTGCATAGATTTAATCACACATACTAATTAGGACAAAATAAAAAAAATAACTATATTAAAGTAACACTAAATGGATTTTTATTTTAAAAAATATTTTCATAGAATTTTATAACTTCCTATTTTAGATACTATTTACAATTTACACATTTTTTAATGATTGGTTTGTCCACTAAAAATAGTGTAGTTACTCTAATGATTATTGCTATTCTACATTTTCTCTAAAAAGAACTATGACATGGCAAGTATTTCTTACAAGAAAATACTTAGTGCTGGTTTCTCTACATCCAAACATAATCTGATTCTAGTGCCTAATCTCACTGAAAAAGTTCTTAGAAACTTTTCTTGGAAGACCCAAAGAAGAAAGAGTTCAAATGTTAATGTGAGGTCTAGATCCCCTAACTTTTACTGATAGTCAAAGAAAAAAATTCAAAATGACTGACCTCCCTGATAACCCCTTCCATTTAAACATGCCAATATTTAAGATAATTGTACAGTTGTGATAATAATATAAGAAAATTTTACTCTGTCCTTTCATACTTAATATCATATTCAGGTCCCTAACCTATTACCTATAATTTTTCAAATGCCTTTGAGAGATTCTATTTTTTCAAATCAAAATATATATGCTAAAATAGCTAATGCTTATATGATTCAAATAGTTTTCCAGTTAAAGTATGTTTATAATTTTTTTTAATTAAGCTAAGTTGCACAACAAATGACCAAAATACTGACGTACAAAGCAATCAAAATTAACAGTTGAAGTGCTGTAAACTCAGCAAACATTTTTAATCAAACACTATTTTATATTATAACTTAATAGTATTGGCTAAGGCATGAAACTCAGGACAGAGACATGTGAATTTCCATGCTATTCTTTTTTAGATTAGATAATAACACAATCGATGAAAGATGCTCTTTGGAAAACAAACTAATGCAAGGCATGTTTTTAACTCAGCACAAACATCCTACACATGCCATATGTTTTTGGAACACTTTCTACCATCAGTGATGCTGCAGGTATATTAAATATTTAATTAAAACCATCAGTAACTTACTCCAGAGAAAAGTTGGGAATGTTCTCCAAACCACTGTCAGCATGTCCAACAGGTTCAACACGACTGTTGTCTTCTGTCCCATCCTCATCCTAAAAACACGACACAAAGAGAAGCACAGTCTGTGTTAGATCTATTTCTAAAATGTGAAAGAAAGCTGGATAAACGTGGAGTTTGGCAGGCATTATGATCATATTATAATTAGGTATTTTCTCTACTGAAGATGACTTTTAATAATAAGATGGGTATGTATATATGAAAAGTTGTATTTCAAAGCAATAGTCAACTGATTTAGCATTTCCCGGGAGGTGAAAAAGATACCAATGCAATAAGAACACATTAGAACTTCTATTTAATGTTAACTTTATCATTTTTACTTCACTTTTTGGTGTATATTTTAGGAAGTAATTACATGTTACTACAATGTTATAGTATATTAATATACCAATATATTAATAAATATATGTACATGACACTGAGTATGTATGTTTAAAATTCTTACTAATCTAAACCAGGAGTCCTCAAATTTTTTAAACACGGGGCCAGTTCACTGTCCCTCAGACCGTTGGAGGGCCGGACTATAGTTTAAAAAAAAAACTATCAACAAATTCCTATGCACACTGCACATATCTTATTTTGAAGTAAAAAAACAAAACGGGAACAAATACAGTATTTGTATTTGCATGTGGCCTGCGGGCCGTAGTTTGGGGACCCCTAATCTAAACAGTTGAGACTATTATAATCCTTAATGACTACCAAAATTTGCAAAGTCATATTTGTCAGTCCCTAAATTCCACCAACACAGCTTGGCATAATGACTTTGCAGTAAGTACAATACTTGACTCGAATCCTTCATCCTATGAAATATCACTTAAAATTACTGAGCCAACTGACAAGAGTTACCTGAAAAGGCATTAAGATCTTAGTTTTAAAGAATCACTTCTGCTTACTTCTGTTAATGAAGGACCAAGTAAAAGGTAAAGCACACAGAGCAACATAATCAACACTCACCTTGGTATCCTTACTTTTACAAAGGCAGTATCATGTAAAGATTATGTTCCAACATGTTGTACAAATTGGGATTGGGTAAGATGCTGATACTCCAAAAGGTGCCATGTGGAATAAATGTGATGGTTTATAAAAACAAATGAAACATCACCCAAGACTATACCTTTTTTTATATAATCGTGGTCATTGTTTTTTCACTAGGGAGTTCACTAACAGTTAAGCTGCCTTCTCAGGATCATTTTGAATAATGATAAACATGCCTGACTGACATCAGTGTCTTCTTAACCAAATTAGAATATTTAGGAAAGACTCAGCGTTCCAAACACAGTGGCTAAGAGGCTCTTGTGGGCTTTACCTTGGACCACAGTGTTTTGGGCACCTACTAGATACTCTGTAAATACCTTGCTAATAGAAACAAAACCATACATAAATACAATTTACTTAATCGACTGGTATTTCTTGGAATTTTATGTATATAATTAATGTACACAAATAACATGTGAAGTTTATCCTTTCAACTATATAAATTAGGTAACAGTAATTTTATACATGAACTTATACAACCACCTATAAGAGATTCCATCATTACCAAAAATTTTATATGTTTAAACATGTATTTGAGAGACGCATAATAGAAATGTGAATGCTGTCAACGGAGACATCAACCAACAAAATGATAAGCAAAGCTTATATGTCCAATTCACAGTGTCAAACAATACTACAGATTATTGAAGCAATATTAAGGCAAAGTAAAGCAGTTGATAATGTCCAACTGACATTTCCTCCTAGAATAGAATTTTTCTGAGTTGTAGATGGGCCCACATAGCCTCACTGGTAGGGCCTCTGCATAAAGCTAAGCTACTTCAAGATATGACCCTGTGCTTTTAGAGGCTCCAATATGCACTTCTTAGTCATTCACCTCTTTTCAGCACCAGCTTACATTTCAAAGTTAACCAACATCTTGAACCTGCCTAAGAACCACACTTTGAAATAAACAATTCCCAAAAGTATGCTTTTCCTTTGGGATTGAAAATAGGGGAGGAGAGCAAAGTGACTAAATCAGATTAAAAACATAAAGAAAATCTTACAATTTAAAGACACTTTGTTTCAGTATGTATGAATAATTTAAGCACTACTGAAATACCACAATATATGAGCAACTGGAACACCTATGTTGCACTATGAAAAGCAGTCATATAAATGAAATGCCCCAAACGACAGTGGTAAACAGTTACTGGTAATCTACACACTCATTGTTCCCACAGTGGCCATTATCAGGCCTCCAAGAGTGAGTAGAATATTATTTCATGAAGCTGCATATGATGTTCAGTTTAGGTTGCAATACTCACTGACCTGATGCTGGGCTGCAATAATGGTGGGAGCCACAACTTAGAATTTCCCAATTTCTGGATGTGGAAATATTAGCTCCTATATTGCTTTAATTTTTGTTTTATACTTTTAAAAAGCAGTGACTGAACATAGTTAATTTTAACAAGAGTTATACACTGAATTCCATTATAAGCAGTCCAGTGGTCCTCCCTGATCTGAAGGGGGTACATTCCAAGACCCTCAGTGGGTGACTGAAACCACAGAAAATTCTAAACACTATATATACTATGTTTTTTGCCTATAAATACATATCTATGATAAAATTTAAATTACATAGTACAGTAAGGAATTGACAAAAATAATAAAATAAAATAATTAAAATATACTGTAATAAGATTTATGTGAATGTGGACACCCTTCCCCCTCACATGAGGGATCTGAAAAGCGCCTAATGGGCAGGGTGAGTATACAGCCTAGAGACACTGGACAAAGGAGTGAGTCATGTCCCAAGGGGGACAAAATGTGAACACCCACAACTTAAAACTTATAAATTGTTTTTGCTTTTTTTCAATTAAATCTTTATTGTTCAGATTATTACATTAGTTACTCTTTTTCCCCACCATAACTCCCCTCCACCCAATTCCCACCGCACACTCTGCCCTCACTCCCCACCCACTGTCCTCATCCATCGGTGCATGATTATTGTCCAATCTCTTCTCTCACCCCCACACCCCTTTCCCCCCCAACAATGGTC